GGCATTGCTCTGTCCTGTCCCACAGTGTCCCCATGGTCCATATCACAGTGTAGACATGGTGGCTGTGCCCATCCAGTGGCAAAAGCCACATCCAGCCCTAAAATCCTCTCTGGCACTGTCTCACAGTGTCCCCATGGTCCATATAACAGTATAGACAAAGTGGCTGTGCCCATCCAGTGGGCAAAGTCACACCCAGCCCTAAAAACCTCCCTGGCATTGCTCTGTCCTGTCCCACAGTGTCCCCATGGTCCATATCACAGTGTAGACAAGGTGGCTGTGCCCATCCAGTGGGGAACTCCACATCCAGCCCTAAAATCCTCCCTGGCATTGCTCTGTCCTGTCCCACAGTGTCCCACACCACAGTGTAGACGTGGTGGCTGTGCCCATCCAGCAGGGAAAGCCACATCCAGTCCTAAAAACCTCCCTGGCATTGCTCTGTGCCCATCCAGCAGGGAAAGCCACATCCAGCCCTAAAAGCCCCCCTGGCATTGCTGTGTCCCCCCCAAGATGGCTGTACCGCAGTGTCCTGAGCTGCTCCCCGGTGTAGGGGTCCCACATGATGACACAGGCGTCGTAGGAGGCGGTGACAAGGAGCGCAGAGTCCGGGGAGAAGTCACAGGACACCACGCTGTTCTGGTGGCCCTTCAGCCTCCGGATGAGGGTGTAGGATCTCATGCTCCACAGCAGGGCCTGTGGGATTTGGGCAGGGCATCAGGCTGGGAGCAGCCCAAGGGTTAAAGCACGTGGGCTCTGCTCACAGCTTCCAGCTCCTGAGGAGCCAGGGCAGCGTGGCCTGGCCCTTCTCCAGGGGGGTTTCTGGGGACACAGAGGGCTGGATTCAGCAGGCACAGGGATGGCTCCCGTCCTGCAGGACTCACCGACTTCTCACCAGCAGCAGAGCAGAGCATGCTGCAGTCTGGGGAGATGGAGCAGCAGTACACCCACTGCACGTGGCCCGACAGCACCTGCACCTGCCGCCCTGGGGACAGCAGAAATGTGTCACCAGAGAAAAAAAGGACTCCTTGGCACTGCTCTCCCTCCCTTTCCCCAGAGGGAATTCACATTGGGCTGGGGATTCCCTGGGTAAATCCCAAAGCAATGCCCTCCTCCATCTCCCAGGTTACACTCTGCTCCCAATCACATGGCTGTCTCCTTCTGCCTTAAATATTGTCCCCAAAGGTCCCCTCCACCACCTTCCCTCCCAAGATGGGTTTCTCCCCCTTCCCTGACCCAGCACAGGGATATCCCTGTACGTTCCTACCATCCCTGCTCAGGTCCCACAAGCGCAAGGTCTTGTCCCGCGAGGCCGACACGAGGATGGGGCTTCCATTGGGAGCAAAGCTCAGGTCCCTGACAACATCCTTGTGTCCCAAGAGGCTGAAGAGGAGGTGCCCTGCAGAGAGGAGCCAGGCTCAGTGCCATTCACCCACGGGGAATGAGGCAGAGCCCCTCGTGCAGCCCTGCTTGGGACAGGGCAGGTATTGGGGAAGGGGGAAGATGGGATCCCCTTCCACAGGGGAACAAGGGGACAGCCAGCCTGAAGCCACGACAGCGAGGGCTGCTCACCTGTCTGCACCTCCCACACCTTGATCTGCCCATCGCTGAGCCCGGTGGCCAGGACCAGGCAGGGAAGCCCCACGGCACAGGCAGGATCTGTGTCCCCATCCTCAGCTGCTGGCCAGGCACTGAAGGCCAGGCCCCACACGATCTGCCCACACTCCAGAGTCTTCTCCTTGGCTGCCCCACGGCTCCAGGTCTCCGCTTTGCCGCCCCGGCTCTTGCGCTCCGAGGTTTTGCAGCCGCTGGAGGGAGGCAGGGATGGGGGGAGTGTTCACCCCGAGACCCCCCAGCTCCAGGCACCCATCTCACCCCACACTGGGCAACCCCTAGGATCAATCCAAGCTGGGGAATGAATGGATGGAGAGCAGCACTGGGAGGACACCGCTGAAACACCCTGGGCTGATACCGCAGTGTGGGCAGCAGGAAAGGAGGAGGGGATTCTACTCCTCTGCCCCACTCAGGTGAGACCCCACCTGCAGAGCTGCCCCAGCCCTGGGGTTCTCAGCATGAGAAGGATGTGGAGCTGATGGAGTGAGACGAGAGGAGGAGATGCTCCAGGGACTGAAGCCAGGCTGGGAGAGCTGGGGGTGCTCACCTGGAGAGGAGAAGGCTCCAGGGACACCTCAGAGCCCCTTGCAGGGCCTGAAGGGGCTCCAGGAGAGCTGGAGAGGGACTGGGGACAAGGGATGGAGGGACAGGACACAGGGAATGGCTCCCAGTGCCAGAGAGCAGGGATGGATGGGATATTGGGAATTGGGAATTGTTCCCTGGCAGGGTGGGCAGGCCCTGGCACAGGGTGCCCAGAGCAGCTGGGGCTGCCCCTGGATCCCTGGCAGTGCCCAAGGCCAGGCTGGATGGAGCTAGGAGCACCCTGGGACAGTGGGAGGCGTCCCTGCCCATGGCAGGGGTAGCACTGGACGAGTTTTAGGGTCCCTTTTAACCCAACCCATTCCATGACTCCGCACTCACAGCTCGGTCTCCCCCAGGGGCCACGGGATCAGTTTGACCACGCAGTGTCCCTGGGACCAGGCGAACCAGGCCCCGTCGGGGGAGAAGGCGACGCTCCAGGTCTCGCAGCTGGATTTCCAATCGTAGCGCTGGGGCCGGCCCGGCTTCAGCTCCGCCAGCAGCACCGGCTCTTCTGCGGCGGGACAGCCCCGTTACCCCCAGAGCCCCCCGTACCCCGGTCACCCTCACAGCCCCAGCCCCCCGTGTCCCCGCCCGGCTCCCGCTCACCTCCGCTCGGCTTCATGGCGGCCCCGCCGCCCGCTCGGCCCCGCCGGGCCCGCCCGGCCCAGGGCGGCGGCGGCGGCGGCGGAAGCGGCGGCGCGGGGAGGGGACCTGGAGCCGCCTCCTCCGGCCCCGCCGCCACCGGCACCGCCCCGCGACCGGCATGGGGCGGGAGAGGGCCTGGAACGGCCTCCGTGAGGGAGAAACGGCGGGAACCGGGCCGGCCCCGAACGCCCGCCGGGCCCGGGGCAGCGACACCCTCAGAGACACACACCGGGACACCTTCTGACAGGGACACCCTCAGTGACACGCAGCGGGACACCTCCCGGCAGGGACACCCTCAGAGACACACACCGGGACACCTTCTGACAGGGACACCTTCAGGGACACACACCGGGACACCCTCAGAGACACACACCGAGACACCTCCCGGCAGGGACACCCTCAGGGACACACACCGGCACACCTCCCGGCAGGGACACCCTCAGGGACACACACCGGCACACCTCCCGGCAGGGACACCCTCAGGGACACACAGTGGGACACCCTCAGAGACACACGCTGGGACACCCTCAGAGACACACACCGGCACACCTCCCGGCAGGGACTCACACCGGGACATCCCCTGGTAGTGACACCCTCAGAGAACCGGCACCGGGACATCCTCTGGAAGTGACACCCTCAGGGACGCACACCGGGACACACACTGGGACACCTCCCGGCAGGGACGCACCCTCAGGTACACACACAGGGACACCTCCCGGCAGAGACACACACCAGGACACCTCCCTGCAGTGACACCCTCAGAGACCTGGCACCGGGACATCCCCTGGCATTGACACCCTCAGAGACCCAGCACCCTCATGGGGACACCCCCTGACAGTGACACCCGGCCCCAGCACCCACACCGGGACACCTCCCGGCAGTGACACCCTCAAAGACGCGGCACCCTCATGGGGACACCTCCCAGCAGTGACACACACCGGGACACACACCGGGACACCTCCCGGCAGGGACACTGTCAGTGACACACACCGGGACACCTCCCAGCAGTGACAGCCTCGCAACACATACACGGGGACACTTCGCGGCAGTGACAGCCCCCAGGACCCAAAAGGTGACACCCCCTGGCAGTGACACCTCCCCAGCACCCACACCGGGGACACCTCCCGGCAGTGACATTCCCCCCAAACCCACACCAGGACACCTCCTGGCAGTGACAGCCCCCAGGACCCACAGGGTGACACCCCCCAGCAGTGATCCCCGTCTTGGGGACCCAGCACCCACAGAGTGACACCCCCCACCAGTGACATCCCACACCAGTGACAACCCCGCCAGTGACACCCCCAGGACGCAGCACCCGTTGGATGACACCCCTCAATTCAGCAGCCCCCAAAAGATCAGCACCTCCATATCCAGCAGCCCTTAAGGATCTCACTGAGCCCCCCTTTAGCAGCACCTCGATCACTCCGTGCCCCACATTGTCCCCCCAAGGAGCAGCACCCCATCATCAGCCCCCCAAGAGCCAGCACCCCTCCTTTGAGCCCCTCCAGCACCCACTGAGTGACACCAACCCTGGCAATGCCAGCAGGACACAGCTGGCCAGCGCCCCAAATTCCGAAGCCCCTCCAGGCATGTCCCCCCTCGCCCCCCATCCTCTCTGGCTCAGGGTCCCTGGGTCAGGGAGGGCTGAGATTGGGGTCCTGCACCCACAGACACCCTAAGACCTGCTGGAGTCCCCCCCCGGTTTGGCTCAGGGTGTCCCCTCTGAGGGCTGGGGTCTCCCGGAGGTCCCTTGGGGGGTGCTATGCACCTCCTTCCTCCCCTCATCCCCAAGTGCAATGTTCACCCATTCCCTCCCTTACTTTGTCACTTTGGGGTCCAGACCTAGCCCCCCATTCCTGTCACCCCTTGTGACATGACAGGAGCCCCTCACCACAGGTGCCACCGCTCTGCCGTGCCTCAGTTTCCCCGCCTCTTGGACGGAGGGTAGCTTTGCTGTCCGGTCGCTGGCCGGCGATGCGACCCCCGCGGTAGGCACGGTGCCACCTCCCCCTGCTCGCCCTCCGCCCTGTGCCCGCCTGGCGCAGGTGGGAGCGGAGCGGCAGCAAAAACCTCGAGGAGAGGAAAGAGAAAGAAGCGGCGGCGAGAAGCGGCTGCAGACGAGGAGGAAGAGGAGAAGGAGGAGGAGGAAGAGGAGGGGGCCGGTGCCGGCAGCCCCGCGGCGCTTTGCGAGGGCTCAGGGCACCCCCGGGCACCCATCGCAGCCCCCCAGGTGCCCACCCCGAAGTTTGAAGTTCGCCGGCATGGCCAAAACCACCCCGCTGCGCTGCCGGGTGCAGGAGGGGAAGGACTTGCCCGCCAAGGACCTGTGAGTGGCTCGGGGGGCTCAGCGCCCCCCTATTTCCCCAGACCCACCCCGGGAGATGTGGCGGGGAGGGGGCGGTGGGTGCTCTGCCCTCCCTGGGTGCTCTCTCCGTACAGTTTTAGGGGGCTCTGCTTGCATCCGTTACCCCCTAAGTGGGGGTCTGGGGTGTGCAGGCACTGCCAGCCTCCCACCATCCCCCAGGGGTGTGTGAGCCCCCCAACCCTTTTATCACCCCTTTCGTGCCCCCCAGCAGGGTGGGCACAGAGGAATCTCCCCAAACCTGGGGGTGACTCTGGGGGGCACAGCCCCTGCACCCCCACGCCTTTGGAGGGGTGGGGTGGTGATCGGGGGGTGCAGGGAGACCCCCGCCCACTCCTGCCCCGGGACACGGCTCAAAGGAGCTGGCAGTCCCGGGCACCTCCGGATGTGCCAGCTTGGCACTGCCAGCCACTCCGAGGGCCGGGCAGCGGGGAAAGGGGCCGTGTCCCTGCCTCGGGGGGTTGTCCCTGCCCCGAGGGGTGTCCCACTGCAGGGGTCGGGGCAGAGCCCATTTGCACAATGATGGGGTGCCCCGTGCTGCTCCCAGCGCCCCCAAGCCCAGCCTGGGGCTGTCATGGGGCTGCAGAGAGGGTCGGGGAGAGCTGCTCCCACTTCACATCCCGTGGCAGGGACAGAGACTGGGGTCATCTCCCTCATCCATCTCGGGGTCTCAGTCCTTGTGAAGCACCTCCTGGGGATTTGGGGCTCCAGCAGGGCCAGCACCCCTTGGTACTGCTCCAGCAGAAAGGGGCTTTGCAGGGAGCGGGTGGATTGCCCCTGGATCCATCCCTCATCCCTCCATCCCATTCTCTTTCTGGTGGAAAGGGCCAGACCGGTGTCATCCTGGCACCGTGGGCTGTCACAGAGCCTCGGGCTGGGCTGTGCTGCTGGACAGACAGTGGTACCCACGGGTGGGTGACACAGGGACACAGAGATGCAGGGCCAGGCTCAGACCGAGCAGCTCAGCTCACCCCTAGTGCCTCACTGTCGGCGTTTGAGGCCCCCAGGGTGGGGGGGATTCCCGACCCTGGGCACCCCCATCCCCTGCCCAGGTCTGGCTCCAGCCATCCCTACTGCGTGGTCAAGGTGGACAACGAGGTGGTGGCCAGGTACGGGGACACTGTCCCACACTGGGAAGGGACGCACAGGACTGGGGGATCCTCCCTGGGGGGACAGCCACCTCTGCCATCCCGGCAGGACAGCCACCATGTGGAAGAGCCTGAACGCTGGTGAGGAAATCACGCTGCTTCTGCCCCCTGGATTCCACAGCCTCGCCATCTACGTGCTGGATGAAGACACCATTGGGAAGGGGGACAGCAGGGGCAGAGTGGGCACTGGGGACCCCCCGAGGGGTGGCAGGTCCCCAGCAGTGTCCTGCTGTGTCTGTTCCCTCACAGGCAGGACAATGTCATGGGCAAGGTGTCACTCAGCCACCAGCAGATCTCCGCCGAGCCGCGGGGTGAGGGGGTGCACAGTGGGGTGGGGGACAGCAGGACCCATGCTGCCACCATGGGGTGCCCACGCTGTCCCCCTCAGCAGGCATTGACAGCTGGCTCAGCCTGGCACCTGTGAGCTCCGACCAGGAGGTGCAGGGTGAGACCCACCTGGAGCTGTGGGTCCCTGAACAGGGCCACCCACGGGTGCTGTGCTGCCACCTCATCGAGGCCAGGTGGGGGGATGGCAGCTCCCGGGGCTGCCACCACCATCACGGGTTCTTATTTTTGGTGGGAGGGAGGAGAGGAGGGGATGGGGACAGTGGTGGCATAGGGTTTGTCCTCTCCTTTCCACACTCAGAAGGATGCTCGCTGCACCAGGTTGGGGACATCAGCGGTGCCAAGCCACATGTGACAATGCCATGGGGGCTCAGTGGGAAGTATGCTGCCATCCCTGCTTGGGGACAGGGGCACAGGAGCACCAGGGTCTGTTCCTAGCAACATGGTTGGCTCTCACACCGTGTTTTTGCCCTCTGGCTTCAAAATTTGGGGAAACTGAGGCACTGCCCAGGCTGCCCGTCCGGGTTTGGGGGTGCAGATGTGCGTGCAAGTGCGTGTGAGCGTGCACAGGGACACACACGCGGTGACACACACACGCGGTGACACGCACACACAGCTGACAGATGGAGCAGCCAGCAGAGGCAGCATCCCGCTGCCATGGCAACCAAAGCAGCTACCAAGGCAACGGGATGGCCATGGGGACAGGGTGGCCATGGGGACAGCCAGGAGGGACTGGAGGAGGAAGGGCTCCCTGGAAATGGGGACACGATCCCCCCAGCACCCCCTGGCACCTGCTGGCTGCCCCATACGCCCAGGCGAGCTGGCACGGGGCAGCAGGGACCGTGACGGTGGGGACAAACCCTGCTGACCCCATGTCCTCACAGGGACCTGGCCCCCCGGGACGCCTCGGGCACCTCGGACCCCTTTGGCCGGGTGTCGTGCTGCGAGCACACGCTGGAGACAGCCGTGAGTCACTCTGGGTGCTGAGTGTGGCACCGGGTACTGCACGGACCCAGGAGGCTCGGACACCCTCGGGCACCCTCGGGCACCAGTGCCGGTGCCCCGCAGGTGGTGAAGAAAACGCGGTTCCCTCGCTGGGATGAGGTGCTGAGTTCGAGCTGCCAGAGGGGGAGCTGGGAGAGGCTGTGCTGAGCGTGGAGCTTTGGGACTGGGACATGGTGGGCAAGAACGACTTCGTGGGGCGGGTGAGGAGCTCGGGGCACACCCCAATGGGGCTGGGGGCACCTCTGCACCCCCTGTGCGGGGTCTGGGTGAGCACGGGTTAGGACTCACCGGGATGGGGGCAGTGCCACATGCAGACCCTAGGCTGTCCCCCAAGGGAGGTGCAGCACAGGGGGCTGGCACTTGTCCCCTCACCCATCCAGACCCTGCGTGTCCTGGGCTGTCACCCAAAGGAAGTGAAGCACAGGGGACTGGCACATGTCCTGTCACCCATCCAGACCCTGCCCCTGTCCCCCAGGTCGAGTTCTTCTTGGACACCCTCTGCCCGGGCCCCACCAAGGGCTGGTTCCATCTCCTGCCCTTCCCCAGCACCACCGAGGAGCACGGGTGAGTGCAGGCAGAGGGGACAGGGGGCTGTGACCAGGGCAGCACGAGGTGGCCCCCATGGAGGGCACAGGACCCACGTGAGCCCCTGTGTCACTGCAGGGGACAGCTGGGTGCCCTGAGGCTGGCAGTGAGGCTGCTGGAGGACACGGTCCTGCCCTCCCACCACTACCAGCCCCTCATCCAGCTCCTCACCAAGCCTGTCCTCTGCCCAGCCCAGGTGGGTGCTGGGGCTGTGGGGTACTTTGGGGTGACCACCCCAGTGTGGAGGCCCAGCTGTGCCCACCCTGCCCTCCCCACACTCCCCTGAGGGCACAGCCCTGGCTGTCCTGGAGGAGGTGACCTCAGGGGAGAGCCGGCAGGATGTGGCCACCAAGCTGGTGAAGCTCTTCTTGAGCCAAGGGCTGGCTGTGCCCCTCCTGGACTACCTCACCACTGGCCAGGACCAGTAAGTGCCCAGGACCACTCCAAGAAACCCCAAACCTGGGTCACTCCAGATTCCCATGGAGAAAGAGTGAGGACACCAAGGGAGAGGCAGGAAAGGTGCCACGTGTCCCTGGGGTTGGGCACACCAGGGACAGCTGGGATGTCACCCTGTGCCCACCTTGCCACAGCCTCTGTGCCCTTCCAGCTGATCCCAACACCCTCTTCCACTCCACCTCGCTGGCCTCCAAATCCATGGAGCAGTTCATGAAGGTGAGCACGGGAAGGGACATCTCCATGATGTCCCAGCAGGGCATCTGGGGACAAGGACAGTGCCTTCCCACCCCTCGCAGGTGGTGGGGCTGCTCTACCTGCACGAGGTCCCGAAGCCGGTCCTGAACTGCATCTTTGAGGAGAAGAAATATGTGGAGCTGGACCCCGGCAAGATGGAGCTGAGCTGGGGCAGGTGGGCACAGGTGGATGTCCCTGGCATGTCCCTGTGTCCCCTGCAGGAAGGGGACACCTATTGGGTCACTTCTGGCCAGCTCAGTGCCTCTGTTCCCAGTGGAGCTGTCCCCACAGGAGGATCTCCTTCAAGGGGACCCTGTTGGAGGCACAGGTGCGGGAGAGCAGCCTGGAGCTGCTGAAGGGCTACCTGGGGGACATCCTAGATGCCACCGTGGGCTCAGTGGACAAGTGTCCCCTCGCCATGAGGGTGGCCTTCCAGCAGCTCGGCAGGCGGGGGGAGCAACGATTCCCCTCAGCACAGCACGAGGTAGGGCTGGGGTCTGCACAGCCCCAGGAGCACCACGGCAAGCTCTGAGCTGTCCCTGTGCCCTGAGCTGGCCCTGTCCCCTGAGCTGTCCCTGTCCCCACCCAGGAGGCGAGGTACTTCTCCATCAGTGGGTTCCTCTTCCTTCGCTTCTTCGCTGTGTTCACGCAGAGCCCGGCACCGGCCGCACGCTCCTGCTGCTCGCCAAGGTGGGGACAGCACAGGGACACCGCGGAGGGGTGGGGACAGCGGGGAGGGATGGGGACACCAGGGAGGGATGGGGACCTTGGAGAGGGATGGGGACACTGGGAAGGAATAGGAACACCAGGGAGGGATGAGGCCTTGGATAGGGATGGAGACGCAGGGGAGAGATGGAGACCCTTGGGAAGGGTGTGGGACTTGGGGAGAAATAAGGACCCTGGGGAGATAAAGGAAGCCTGGGAATGGATAAGGACCCTGGGAAGGGTGGAGGACCTGGGGAGGGATGGAGACACTGTGGGAGGATGGGGATCCTTAGGGAGAGTGGGACTCCTGGGGAGGAATGTGGATCCTTGGGGATGGACAGGGATCTCGAGGAGGGATGGGAACTCCAGGGACGGATGAGAACCCTTGGAGAGGGATGGGGATCCTTGGGGATTGTGGGGACCCTTGGGGTGGGTGAGGGACCTGCAGAGGGATGGGGACCACTGGGAGAGACAAGGATTGTGGGGAGGGCTGGGGAGCCCAGGGAGGGTTTGGGACTTCAGACAGAAACCCCAGGAAGGACAGAGACTTCTGTGAGGGATGTGGACTCTGTGGAGAGATGAGAACCCCCAAGGAATGGGGAGGCCAGAAAGGGAGGGACAGAAACCTCAGGGAATGATGGGGACCCCAAGCAGGGCAGGGCCATTCCTGTCCCTGTGCCACACACCATGGGCTGGCTCCTTCCTGTGCCACTTGAGGCCAGTCCTGCCTGTCCCCAGGCTGTGCCACCACAAGCTGGGCACAGCACAGGGGCAGAATTTGGGTCCCATCACCCCTCCAGCTGCTCTGCTTTTCCCACCCCAACTCCTGAGCCCTCGGGGTCCAGGGGAGCACCAGGGTGGCCCAGGGGGTGACACCAGCAGGGACACAGCAGTGTCACCCCTTCCCTGCATGGGACACACTCTGCAGAGCATCAGGAACTTGGGGCTGCAGCTGGGGCAGGGCAAGGAGCCGTGGATGGCCCCGCTGAACGCCGTCCTCCTGCCCAGTGCCACCCGTGTCCGGGCCTTCCTGGATGCCCTGGTCACCGAGCAGGGACACAGGGCAGGGAGGGGACATGGCTGGTGCCGGGTCAGTGCCACCACCCTGGTGCTGCCAGGAGCACCCTCGGGCCGTGGGAGGGGGTGGCACTCGAGGTGACACCGCTCCCTCCCTGTCACCATCACAGTGGGCGAGGTGGCAGCGCGGTGGCCGGGCCCCCCTGCCCGGGCCAGGCAGGTATGAGGACACTGGGGGGGACATGGGGACCCGGGGTGGGGGCTGGCACAGGCAGGCAGACCCTGCGGGCACCACGGGGCACCGCACCGGCTCCCTCCACGAGGGGACAGCAGATACACGGGGACAGGGGACACGGGGACATGGGGACACACGCAGTCCGGGGGTGGCACAGGGTGAAATGTGACGGGATGGAGGGACCGGGAGGGGCTGTGGGGACACCACGGGTGGGTGTCGGGGGTGGATGCCCGCGGGTGGGTGCCAGGGTGACTGGCAGGGTCACGGGTGGGTGCCAGGGGTAGGTGCCACAGGTGGCACTGACCCCACCCTGGGGTGCAGCGGGACTCGCTGGGGACAGGCTGCAGGAGGTGCTGCGAGACCTGGACATGGCCCACGACGCCTTCGCCCGCCGCGACGAGACCCCGGAGCCACCCCCAAGTGCCCTCCCTGTCCCTGGAGCCACCCCCAAGTGCCCTCCCTGTCCCCGGAGCCACCCCCAAGTGCCCTCTCTGTCCCCGGAGCCCCGGCACCCCCGGTGTCCCCTCGCAGCCCAGCCCGGGAGGGCACAGAGGGGACGCGGGGCCGGCAGCCCGGCACGGGGTGTATTCTGTAACACAGAGATGTACATGGCACCGGCTGTGCGCGGCTCCTGGGGCAGCGGCGGGCGACACGGGTGACACACGGGTGACACACGGGTGACACGGGTGGCACAGACGCGCAAAGAGGCCACGGGTAGAAAAAGACCACGACGCTATCGCCACGAGAGCGGGGCGAGCCGGGACGGGACGGGCGGACAGACAGACAGACAGACGCAGGCGGGGACACGCGGTGGGTGGCACCGGGTGGCCCGGGACGGGGGACGGGCCCGCCGGGCGGGGCTGCGGGAAGCGGCGCGGGCGGCACGGGCGGGGCACGGGGCCAGGGCAGCCCCGGCCCGGCTCAGTCCTTCAGCGTGGCCTCGGACACGCCCTGGGCCAGCAGCTCGGCCAGCACGTTGTCCAGGTAGTTGGGGTCGGGGTAGCCGTGCCCCGTCAGGTTGGAGCCGAACTCGGTCTTGTGGTGGATCTCGTTCCACACCACCGTGTCCGACTCGCCCGTGGTGTTGGAGGTGCCGATGGTGAAGATGAGCCGCCGGTCCCAGGCCACGATCAGCAGCTTCAGCACCTGCGGCGGGCACGGCCAGGGCTCACCCACCCAGCCTGGCATGGACTGGCACAGCCACCCAGCACCCCTGGCATGGCCTGGCATGGACTGGCACAGCCACCCAGCACCTCTGGCACAGCACAGCCTCAGCCCCCCAGGGTGGGATTCAGCACAGTGCCCACAAGATGCCACCTTTCCTTGTGGTACCCCCCCATCCCATCCCAGTGCATCTGCAGCCTCCCTTATCCCATCCCATGCCGTCCCATCCCATGCCATCCCATCCCATCCCACCCCATGGATCCCATCCCATCCCACCCCATGGATCCCATCCCATCCCATCCCATCCCATCCCACCCCATGGATCCCATCCCATCCCACCCCATGGATCCCATCCCATCCCATCCCATCCCATCCCATCCCATCCCATCCCACCTTCCTGCCCTTCTCGTTGTCGGGCAGGTAGCAGTGCCGTGGGAAGCCTCGTGCCGTGAATTTCTTGCCGGGGTTGGGATGCTCCGGGCCCTGGGTCAGTGTGGGGACAGGGGGTGAGCAGGGACACAGGTACACGGGGACATGGGGACACGGGGTCACCACCCCACGGGGTGCCCCCTCACCTGGATGCCGGTGGGGATGTCGTAGACGATCCGGATGGTTTTGGAGTCGGTGTATCCCGGGAGGGAGTGGGGGATGAGGTGGAACTCCATCTTCCCGGGGGGCTGCGTGCCCGTCTTCTCCCCGTAAATGGCCTTGCAGGTGGGGCACTGCAGGCTCCCGTCCTGGGGGCATCGCGGGGGCCTCAGGGGTGGCACCCACCTGGCACCCACTCAGCAACACCTGGACCACCCAGAAATCCCCAACACCCACCCAGCACCGACCTGGCACCCACCCGGCACCACCTGGACCACCCAGAACTCCCCAACACCCACCCAGCACCCACCTGGACCCTTCAGCACCCACCTGGCACCCACCCAGCACCCACTCAGCAACACCTGGACCACTCAGCACTCAACCAGCACCCACCCAGCACCCGCCTGGACCCCCCAGCACTCATCTGGACCCCCCAGCACCCCCCCCAGCAACACCTGGCACCCACTCAGCACCACCTGGACCACCCAGAACTCCCCAACACCCACCCAGCACCCACCTAGACCCTTCAGCACCCAGCTGGATCCCCCAGCACCCACCCAGCACCAACCCAGCACCCAGTACCCACCCAGAACCCATTCAACACTCCCCAGCACCCACCCAACAACCCCCCAGCATCCACCCAACACCCACCTGGAACCACTCAGCACCCTCCTAACACTCATCTGGACGCCCCCAGCACCCACTTGGACCCCATCCAGCACTCATCCAACACCCAGTACCCACCCAGAACTCCCCAACACCCACCCAGCACCACCTGGACCCTCTAGCACCCACCTGGAACTGCCCAGCACCCACCCAGCACCCACCTGAACCACCCAAAACCCATTCAATACCCACCCAACACCCACCCAGAACCCACCTGGACACCCCAGCACCCACCTGGATCCCCCCAGCACTCCCCAACACCCAGTACCCACCCAGAACCCATTCAACACCCACCCAGCACCCACCTGGAGCCCCTCAGCCCCCTCCAACACCTACCCAGCACCCCTGACAGCCACCCAGCACCCACCCAGCACCCACCTGGACCCCACCCAGCACTCCCCAGCACCCAGAACCCATTCAACACTCCCCAGTAGCCCCCCAACACCCATCCAGCCCCCTCCAACACCCACCCAGCACCCCTGACACCCACCCAGCACCCGCCCAGCACCCACCTGGAACCTCCCAGCACCCACCCAACACCCAGTACCCACCCAAAACTCCCCAACACCCACCCAGCACCACCTGGACCCTCCAGCACCCACCTGGAACTGCCCAGCACCCACCTAACACTCACCTGGAACCCCCCAGCCCCCTCCAACACCCACCCAGCACCCCTGACAGCCACCCAACACCCACCCAGAACCCACCCAGCACCCATCTGGACCCCACAGCACTCCCCAACACCCAGTACCCACCCAGAACCCATTCAACACTCCCCAGTACTCACCCAACAACCCCACAGGCTCCCCCTGACACGCACCCAGCACCCACTTGAATCCCCTCAGTCCCTCCAATACCCATCCAGCACCCCTGACACGCACCCAGCACCCACCCAACAGCCACCTGGAACTGCCCAGCCTCCTCTAACATCCACCTGGACCTCCCCAGCACCCACCTGGACCCTACCCAGCACTCCCCAACACCCAGTACCCACCCAGAACCCATTCAACACTCCCCAGTACTCACCCAACAACCCCGCAGGCTCCCCCTGACACGCACCCAGCACCCACCTGGAACTGCCCAGCCTCCTCTAACATCCACCTGGACCTCCCCAGCACCCACCTGGACCCCACCCAGCACTCCCCAACACCCAGCACCCACCCAACATCCACCCAGCACCTCTCAGCACCCACCTGGAACTGCCCAGCACCCACCCAACACCCACCTGGACCCCTCCAGGACTCCCCAACATCCAGTACCCACCCAGAACCCGTTCAACGCTTCCCAACCAACAACCCCACAGCCCCCCCCAACACCCACCCAGCACCCCTGACACCGCCCCAACACCCACCTAACACCCACCTGGACCTCCCCAGCACCCACCTGGATCCCACCCAGCACTTCCCAGCACCCAGTACCCACCCAGAACCCATTCAACACCCACCCAGCACCCACCTGGAACCCCTCAGCCCCCTCCAACACCCACCCAGCACCCCTGACAGCCACCCAACACCCACCCAACACCCACCCAGCACCCATATGGACCCACCCAGCACCACTCAGCACCCACCTGGACACCCCAGCACCCACCTGGATCCCCCCAGCACTCCCCAACACCCAGTACCCACCCAGCACCCATTCAACACCCACCCAGCACCCACCTGGAACCCCTCAGCACCCACCAAGCACCCCCGACAGCCACCCAGCACCCAGCCAGCACCCACCTGGACCCACCCAGCACCCATCTGGAACACCCCTGCCCCCCAACACCCATCCAGCCCCCTCCAACACCCACCCAGCACCCCTGACACCCATCCAGCCCCCCTCAGCCCCACCCCGAGCTCAGCCAGCCCCTGAGTGGGGGTCTCTGACCTTGTTGCCGTTGTTGTACATGGCCAGCAGGCACAGCAGGTGGTACATGTGCCCGCATTTGCCCAGCTTGCCCACCAGCTCGGGCTTGATGCCCCTGGGGCTCAGCACGCCCTCGTAGCCGGAGGAGGTGACCAGCCGCTCCATGCAGATGGTGCAATCCTGCCGGCAGCGCCATCAGCACCCCGGGGGGATGAGGAGGGGACACCCCCGGCCCTCCCCGAGCCCCCCCACTCACCTCATCCGGGGGGTTCTTCACCTTCTGGATGTAGCGGCGCACCACGTCCTCGGGGGTCTTACCTGGGGACAATGCCATCAGTGCCACCACCCCCCTGCCACGGGGCACGGGGACAGCCCTGCCACCCCCGCCAGCACGGCGGGGACAAAAGCAGCGATGGGCATCACCCCGGGGGTCCCTCACTTCCCCCCCGTGTCCCCGACCCCGCAGGGACATGGGTGGCTCCTTACTCTTCTTGAGCTGCTTCTTTTTGGTTTTCCTGCAGATGCCGTTGACGCCGGGCACGGGTTTGATGTCGCTCTTGCTGACGGGCGGGGGGTGCAGGATGGGTTTGGGGGCGCGGGTCAGGCACACGGGCAGCCCGGCGGCGCACATGAGGATCCCCGTCATGCCTGCGCGGGGAGAGCGTCCGTCTGTCCGTCTGTCCGTCTGTCCGTCTGTCCGTGCTGCCCAGCCCTGCTGCCATCCCCCGCTCCCTGCCCACGCTGTCACCCCGCGGTGTCACCCGGTGCCCGCTTACCTGCGAGCGCGGGATGGACGGGGCCGGTGCCGTTCAGGTTCTTCACCGGCAGCGCTGGGACCCTGCAGGGACACGGGACAGGAAGGGGCTCAGCAGGGCTGGCAGGGATGGCACTGTCCCCTCCCCGCATGGCACGGCCCCAGAGCAGGGTCCTGCCCACGGGATACAGGGCAAGGTGTCCCCTGGGGGCTGCTGGCACTGTCCCCAGGCTGGAACACAGGGCAGAGTGTCCCCTGGGGGCTGCTGGCACTGTCCTCAGGCACTGTCCTCCCCATTAGACACAGGGCAGTGTCCCCTAGGCACTGCTGGCACTGTCCCCAAGCAGTGTCCCCACCACCAGACACAGGGTAAGGTGTCCCCTAGGGGCTGCTGGCACTGTCCCCAAGCAGTGTCCTCCCTACAGGACACAGGGCAAGGTGTCTCCTAGGGACTGCTGGCACTTTCCCCAGGCTGGAACACAGGGCAGAGTGTCCCCTGGGGGATGCTGGCGCTGTCCCCAAGCAGTGTCCCCGCCACCAAACACAGGGTAAGGTGTCCCCTGGGGGATGCTGGCGCTGTCCTCAGTCAGTGTCCTCCCCATGGGACACAGGGCAAGGTGTCCCCTCACCACCTTG